TGCAAGTTATAAGGACATATCAATCTTACCCTAGTATGTAATACAGTATCATAAAAATGAAAAGACAAAAATGTATTTTGAACATAATCAGCAAAGTTTCCAAAGTAAAATGAAAAAAAAAATCTTTTAAAATCTTTTTATTTTCACCGAAATAATTAGAATATACAGTGCTATGATACTGATATGCAATACTTAGCGATAACGTGAATGATGAATACTTACCAGCTAAAACAAAAAATATTTTCTTTTCCAGAAGAAAAGACTTAGCTAAAAAGTGAATAATTTTTTTTCGTAATCTTGGTAAGAAAATTCTACTAACATTGCATTTCTTTCCTTAAGAAGTATTTGTTATGTTGAACAAAATTACCGGACGAAGAGATTTTTATTAACTCCATTGAATCCCTACAAAAGCATGGATGCCATCAAATACCTTTTCCATGTGCAGTACCGGATGTGACGACTAATAAAGCAGTTGTCAAAGTTCTGAGTCATTTGGTGCTAGACCAAATGATTGTTTACTGGAGTATGATGAGTTGTTGTTGATTTTGTTTTATCTTTTACAATGTCGATAGTTCATGTTTTCTCAGTTTTAATGAGCAGTATTTTGTGTTTTCGTCTTCGTAAATATATAATTGCGTAGACGTACGTGCTGCAGTACTGTACATGGTGACAGGTCACATGATCATTTCATCACTATGACTACGAATATAGAGGAAATAGCAATTCACATTAATTATTTAAACTCATATTTCTAATTTCAAATATAGTCACAAATTGACAGTATGTTAAGGCACGTTTCCCAGATAGTTACTTTTAAAATCAATTTCCCCTGTAGTCTGGTTGATATATAAAATTTAATGCTAGAGCAACAGCGTATATATAGTAAAGATGGCGTCTCCGTACATAAACCAGCTTTTGTCGGGAGCATTACAAGGCCATAGTAAATTATCGTCGTATTGATCAGGTTGAAGGAAAACATTTCCTATAGGTTTAAAAGTGAAATCTATATATAGACACTTTCTTGAACAAGACATGGAACTGTTTGCATGTCTGTGCAGGTTAATATGGGATCATAAATAATGTTAGAGTGTTTTAAACAATGATTTAAAAAAAAACACATCTGATATTTTTAATGGAGTACACATTCTGGTTAATTGATGTTTAGTGGTTTGTATATACGTGTTTATTTGTATGATATTGTGTATACGAATCTTTCTCCTTACTTGGACAGGTACACGTATCAAAGTTATCGTAAGGGTGAGATTAAATAGAATCTGTTATCCCCCTTTATAGTGAAATATCGGATTCAAACCCAAGGGGATTATTTACTTGTCAAACACGAGACTTGCCGAGAATTTGATAGCTCAGTAATCGTCCCCCGAGGGTTGAGATCCCCATCTCACCATTAAGGAAGCGAATGATTATTTTTCTCCTATACCGTTTTCCTTGTTCAAGTGCAAGACGAAGCGTATTGTGTGTAAACAAAAACACGTGGACGGTGTATGAACAGTGACGATTCCTGCGCCTCAAGGCGCTTTACGCATTTAATTTTACACATAATAATACTGAAGCCGATTAGTAGCATAAGAGAAATAAAACTTATCTCGTTATAACGAGTTTCGTTATCATGTTATAACGAGTTATTAAGCAAGTTTTCTCGTTATTTCGACTTGAGCTATATAAGACGATTTTTTAAAAATATTTTTATGTAGTACTAATCGGCTTTTAGCTAACTAACTTGTAATAACGAGAAACCTGAAGTCGTAACAATGGGGTAACACGTAATAACGAGAATATTCATGTCGAAATAACGACTGTAAGGAGACAATGATTTGATACCACAGCAACAATCCATTGACATTTCGTCAGCAATGACAAAACAACAGCATTACATGTATACAAGGTCAGAGGGTAACAGATCAAATCATCGAGGGAAGATTATTAAGCTGGCAATCACTTGACAACCCTCGGACTGAAGCCACCCATTCTCACTCAATAGGAGGTGATGGTTTCATCATCTAATGTATGGATGTAATTAGGGCAGTCATGAAGATAAATCCTTTTGGTGACCTAGAAACCTTGACCAAGACACATATTCCCAAGAGAAATGTAACAACAAACCTGACGAATTAAGAAAGCAATATCCTTTTCCCACATAAAGTATTGCTATATTGTGTTGTTGTATTGTTAGTATTTTGTTGGTTACTAGGGATCACCACCTTAGGATATAACAAAAATCGACAATAACAGAGGGAAACAGATGGAAAAGGAAATGATAGTTTGAAAGCGGAACTGAATCCATACACTTTTTCTTACACGTGACAAATATTCTTTCTCCACATGACATATATATATCTATGTAGCTTTATATTAGAACGGAATCTTATTAATGTGGTAACACGTGTTTAACACTCTATCACGAGTAAAGCGACAATGTCACCAGTAGGATACCAACACGTTACTGATTGTGATAACACGAGTTTAAGACGAGTTACGACTGAAACACCAGTAGGATACCAACACGTTACTGATTGTGATAACACGAGTTTAAGACGAGTTACGACTGAAACACCAGTAGGATACCAACACGTCACTGATTGTGATAACACGAATTGTGATAGACGAGTTAAGACGAGTTACTGAAACACCAATAGGATATCAACACGTTACTGATTGTGATAACACGAGTTGTGATAACACGAGTTTAAGACGAGTTACGACTGAAACACCAGTAGGATACCAACACGTCACTGATTGCTATTACACAAGTTTAAGACGAGTTACGACTGAAACACCAGTAGGATACCAACACGTCACTGATTGTGATAACACGAGTTTAAAACGAGTTACGACTGAAACACCAGTAGGATACCAACACGTCACTGATTGTGATAACACGAGTTTAAGACGAGTTACGACTGAAACACCAATAGGATACCAACACGTTACTGATTGTGATAACACGAGTTTAAGACGAGTTACGACTGAAACACCAGCAGGATACCAACACGTCACTGATTGCTATCACACGAGTTTAAGACGAGTTACGACTGAAACATCAATAGGATACCGACAGTCAGTGACCTATTTTATATACTACTGGTGATTCATCCGTAACTCGTGTTAAACTCGTATTATAACCGTGTTGACACATACAGTGACGCCACATTTGAGAACACATTTCCCCCAAGTCCCTTATTTGGTATCATTGTTACAGCCTTGTCATTTATCTCTTCAAAAGACAATATGCCTTGTGTACTTTTTAGCTCCGAAGTCCGGAACATCTTAAATCTTTCATGAATTCAATATGACGTCGCCCGAGATTTTTTATATTCTATTTTAGCTATCTTCTATAATGACTTCATTTCATACCGTAGAACGTGACATCTTGGCTTGCCTGAGAAACGACCATTAGATATGACAATGTCTTTCTATATACACAATTTTGATGGAAGTTCGGTGAGAAAGCTACTGCGGATGACGATCAAGTCATGCAACTGAACATGTCACGTGCAATTTATGTCGGGTCTCTAAGAGCGTTCTCTATTATTGTTAAAGTACGTTGTCATGGCGACGTACAGTTAGAAAGGTACTGAATAGGTTCACAGACACGACATCTTTGTTCGGTTCTACACATCATCTACCCCTACACAAACATTGACATATGGAAAATTACATCAAACTGAGAATAAAGCGTGTCTAATTACCGCCATGTTAGGACCACGAGACGCCCCCATCTTTAACGCGACAGACTCTCCAGAGTCCTCAGACCTGTTGCGTTTGTTCCATTTGCTTGACGTGACATCCGCCGCTCATTAATTCCCGCCAAAATCTGCCTAGACTATTCATTTGTAGCCAAAGTACTGTTGATCCTGTGACTGCAATATTAGTCTGATATGACTTGGAATAGCACGAAGGTACCTATAGCCATGACCGTGACAACATAGTCCAATACATGTCCGGGCCTGACCTTGTATTTCCGCACTCACTGGCTATCATTAACTGGAATTCATGGTAAAAGAACCACAAAGTGATTCCTTTACCATGACTGGAATGTTCAAAGAAAACACCAGCAATGAAGAATCCTGTGTCGTGACAAGAGAGGAGTTCTATAGCGATACTAATGGAAATTCATAGAAAAACATTATTCATAATTCTATCTCATATTTTTATTTCATTTTAATCTATTAAGTGGATGATGTGTTTTACATCACGTAATGCGTCACTGACCTAGTCTCTTCTCTGTTGTTGGACAATACCGATTTATCTCAGTCAATCGATGACGTGTTGTCCTTTTCAGTAGGTTGTTATAAAAACGATATTTTCTTACTTCCCAACAAAAAAATTTTGCGGGTCAGTAGAACAGATATTTTCAATTTTATTGAAAAACACGCTATTCCGCTTCAAATCTCAACACATTACATTCCAAATAAGGAAACAGGAAATAGTTTTAGCTTTTTATACATTTGTCAAAATCCTCAGAAATGCAATGTCACTGTGTCGTTTTAACGACATAATGACAATTCAACTGAGGTTCAATAACCATAATATTCGGATCACTCGTTTGCTAGCGACGTATCAACGTTTGGAATCTGACAGTATCATTTAAACCATTAACGATATTTTTTAATATTCAAATGCTAACGTCGAATACTACATATTGTATTAAAATATGATCGCAAATGAGTTTGATTGTTAATTTAGATACTTTGCTACATGTAAATATTAAATTCTCGAACGAGTTTATAAATTACAGGCAAATTTCGAATCACATGGGAAGTTTTATTCATTGTCAAGCCGATCATGTGACGTCGTTTAGTTATGACGTCACAAAAACCTTATAATGTGTAGATCTTAACTATATTTGTGACAAGGGCGTATTATGTTGCAGGGCAGCGTAGTTATTTGATAAACAAATTAATGACGAATACATAGTCCTGACGTCAGGACTAAGGAAAAAAATCATTTTTTATTTAACGTTCTTTTATTAATGATTTCAGGTTATGTTCCTATATCAGCGATCGAAGAAGAGTGTCCACGACGGATTGACAAAAACAGTGGACGCACGTGTAAGAAGAAATGCCAAAACGGGACGTGTGTGAGTCCCCGAAAGGAATGCGTCTGCGATGGAGCATGTGGAAAAAGTTGTATCCTTAAAAGTGAGTCTTTAACAATTATCTCCCGTTAATGAAACATTTCCCGCTATAATGAGTATAACTCCATGCTTTATTTCGCTATAAGAGCTCGAGATAAAAGACTTCCGAATTCATATTTATCCAAAGAACAGTAAAAATAGGAGTTTGGGAGGCACAATCCTTGTTCTGTGAGCACTGGTTCTTCAGGATAAGTTCCTCTATGAGCTTGTACTGAAAACTTTTATACTCCGGGTTGAAAGGGTTTGTAGGCTTTCATGAGATTTCGTCCTTATAAGATTAGTAAGATATATTACCTCAAATATTTGCTCAACACACTTACCCCCCTCCCCCCCCCCAACCACCAACACACGCTTACTTACAGGTGCTATTTTCCTGCAATATGTGACATCCTTAGTATAACAGTTCACCACTGGTGTCGACCTATATCTTGAAACCCTTATTGGCCTCACCATGCAAACTCTAGCCTCCTTTGGATGTTTCGACCTTTCACACAACATTCTCAAGCTGGCGGGTCAGTACTGGTGATCTACTCACCACTCAGATATTGTAGGGTTTCTACAGAAGCTCGTCTGTTCAATGTCACAACCAGCACAGTGCTCTATCAGTGGTCTCAGCGTCCGATAACGTTTCTCCAGTGACTTCAATATTCTCCATGTTGACAGTGTTGGGAAATAAATATATATCTCTGTAGCCATCTTGTAATTTGAATAGCCAGACAGTCAATCCCTCCTCCCTGCACCATTCCGCCAAGCTCGTCTATAATTACTAAGCATATCCCGTCTCATTGGCTTCATTGCTACCTTTCTCCCATTGAAACGGTGAGTTCCATAGAGTCTGGATGGCACTGACCATGTCACATTATCACCATGTCAGGACCGAATGTGTTCTCCACAACATCTTTTCCAAGTCTACGATAACCTCTCAGTACTGTGAACTATTTGGGACAGAGGAAATCTCTCTTTGTCGTGGCCCCTCCTCCCCATCTCTCATCATACATGTAAACTACATTTGATTTTATGATCTCTTCGTCTGGTATTCTACTCCATGGATATCTGTTAGCATGCGTTATACATTGTCTCCAACAGACACAACAACTAAGGTCATGTGACAAATTAGTTGTCAGTGACAGGTAAAAATATAATACCGTAAAAAAAACAAAACAATGTCCACGCCAATACGGGACACACAAACGGCTTAAACTGACCCCACACCTGCTCACTCATCACCGCCGTAAGCTTCCGTCATTTCAGTCAGAATTCGTCACCAAATGTATTTTCAAGAAAAGCATTGCGAGATGAAAACAATAATGAAAAAGAAATATTACTTAATATCACATAAGAAATCAATCCTCATCATTGACCTGGGTAACGAGGAAATGTTACTTAACACAAGACATACACGAGAAAATGTTACTCTGCACATCAATCGTCATCACTGAGACGAGGATACTCTTTAGTAATTGTAAACGAACCACACGAAATCCACAACATTATTGGTGAGGACAATTGTAAAACATTAGGCCTACAACATAGTCTTTCATTTCAATCATCTTTGTTAAGGAGAAACAATGAAGTATATATTACTTACTGTATCTTGAGTTCTACGATTTAACATAATTCGTTATTGCGGCACTTTGTCACCACTAGCCAGAGCGGCAGGGATATGGGGCGTATATATTGATATAACAGTAATTATTCCACTGGACTTGTTGATACTATGTAAATTATATAGAATTATATAATGAATTTGGAGCTGTATCAAAGTCGTTATTAGAGTTAGGAGTTCCAAGGAAAAGTCGAGAATGCAGTACACCATTCAGTGATCACTTGAAACTTACTATAGTAAGTCACCTTTATAAATTACACTGTTCTTGTTACTACTCTCAGTGGCATTAGATCTATTCAGTCATCACGTCGAAATAGCAGGAACTGGTCTCTGTCAGAAACTATGTGGGAATTGGTGTAACGTTTAGACATGTTTTCCATTCCTCGGGGAATGTTTTAGAAATAGTGAACGATACATCTTTAGAAGGAATAGGACAGCCAAGACGGTAAACGCTTAATCAGACCACTCCCCTCTTTCTGTACGACGGTACTCAATCTTCATACACGTCACTGAATTAAGAGAAAAACATCCTATCTTCAAGCAAAAGAGGAAGTGCAGATGAAATCGAATTCTGAGTGTATTTATACAGAGTTGTGGTTCTTTGTTCTATTTTATTGAAAATTTTATACGGAGCGTAAAAAGAAATGGAATAGAAAAATAAAATGCTGGAAATAACGAGCTTTCATTTTTTATTAATTTGATTGTAAACCTGTTCAAGAGCTAGTTCGATATCTTAAGCGACGAAGATTGTGTGTTTTAGCAAGAAATGTTTACCTCTCTATACCTCTCTATGGTTCTTGTAAAATGCATGTTCATTAATCAAATCTGCAGTTCCATGAACAAACAACAAAACGGCAAATATTCCAAAAATCTGTAGATCCATGACCAAACAATATGATGGCAAATACCACAAAAACTGTAGGTATATGGAAAAACAGAACCAACCGGTAAATATTACAAAAATCTTTAGGTCCATGGCCCAACACTAGAACTGCAAATATAACAAAGTTCTACACTTCTACAGAACAACCACGAAACGTGATTATACAGATACATAATCATGAAAAAAAATTAAAGACACTAAAGTACTACACAAGAATTTCAGGTTAACGAGCCAAAAACAGAGTCGTAAAATATGGGAGTTGTCGTAAAAGTCAGTCAATCACCCGATATGTCGTAAAAGTCAGTAAAATATCCGCGACGTCGGAAAAGTAAAAGGTGTTGGTCTTGGCCAACATCTTACAGCACCTTCCTCAACCCACACTTCAAAAGAGCTTACAATTTAAGAGGAAAACTATCGAAGGCCCAAAAGCAGTATTGCTTTAACTTCCGGAGAAATACAACATTTAGCTTTGCACAAATTACACGACCAAAACTCAATTGATATTATTTACATACATATATCTCATCATGTAATCATCAGCCATAGTTGAGGCAGACAGTAATTTGTAACAACCTCAAATTGGAGTTAACAATCTCCTTAGACTGGCCCCCGGCTCTAATATATTTGATTAATGAAGAAAACATATAGACTTCTAATTCTGATCTTCCAGACACAGGAAGGGGAGATAAGCCAGTATATAATGCAGAGAGGAATTTCTTTCACTGAGGAGCTGGTAGCCAGACTAGGTCTCCCCATACGCTTCTCAAAAGCACACTATCGGTTTAGAATCACGTGTAGACTTGTGATTAAGGTTTTGTGACGTCGTTATTGTCTTAAATCTATATACTTGCATTTATATGAAATTGAGATAATCAAATATAGGATGCGTGCTTTGTTTCTTCTCTGTCTCAATGAAATGGCGCCATAGTGTATCATATATATCACTTATATATACCTTAGTGGCTTACATGGAACAATTTTCTCCACTTTCACTGATAAATGAGGTGATGTTACTAACTCAGTTAGTTTCGCCTCTACTGTCGACACCGGACCAGTATAATCTCGTTGCGTACTTCGAGAACTTGTCATCGTGATTCCGTGATTCCGACATGACGGACGCGGCGAGAGATGTCATTTATAAAGGTGATCAGTCGACATGTTGATACAGATTTAACAACTCGTTTTTTAAGGTTTTGTTTGTTTATTGCGAATCATGACAATCCAAACGTTTGCGATCAAAATATTTTTGTTTTGATAAAAATAAGACTAGGTTCTGGAATCATTTCTATCGCATACTATACTGAGTTAGAAAAGAAAATTTGTGCTTCATGCTACCTTTCGTTCCAACGTACGAAAACTAAGCTTAAGTCGTGATCCATTCTACTTTGCGTTTTAACAACCCTTGTGTCATGTCGTATTCATTCTAATTTTAGTTTTACCAACCCTAGACTTAACTTAAGACGTGATCCATTATAGTTTAAGTTCTTCCGGCTCTAGACTTATGACTTGTTAATTTTACTTCGAGTTCTACCACCCCAACACTTACAGATGTATGACCGGAAGTAGTGCTTAATTCAACGTTCATGGAATTTGCACTTTTTTGCCTGTATTAACGTGCTTAGAATATGACAGTATGTATATTTCTCCTTGTAGACTACGTGATTGACGTCGTGATTCACTGCTTAGTGCTAAAATACCTCCCTTGAGTATAAAAATGATATTTTAGGTAAATATTCCAAAAATCAAGACAGAATCCCTTCTTAAACATTGTTCTATCAAAGCATGAAGTCTTGAAAAATTCTAAACATTGTCAAATAATGGATCTGAGCAAGTTTACATTTTACGGTTGCATTGGGGATTTGCGACTGTCAAATTAAATATAAGTACTTTGAGACCATAATTTTGCTTCTTATCTTATACCAAATCTTTTGCAATTTTATGAATAAAAAAAAAGCAAAAAATAAACAAATGAAAAAAATGCATCCTTGATCCATGTAATGAATGAAAATAGTCATCTCATATTAGTTAAACGCATACTGTGTCATTGATATACAGCATCCATCCTATTGGTGGTATCTTTCAGAATGTACGTATGATTTGAATAAGTCTCATTTAAAAATCCACGCACCAGTATGGTATAAGCTTGTGTTTTACTTGTAAAGAGTTGCTACCATTTTTTTTTTTTACAAAAATCGACACTGTATGATGAGTAAGGATCAGAAACGTGTGTAACCAGGTACAGCCTGGCATCAGTCTGTTGCTATCGCGTGTGTGAGAAAATAACGATGCGTTCCTAGCATCGACATCTGAAACACGTGAGGCTGAACACAGTGCGAATATAAGACAGTTATTTGATAAAAAGTAAATTACCGCAGCTAAACATGAAAACCCAACTGATGTATTAAAACAACAGAGAGATATGTCTATGGTGCTGTGGTAGCGAAATTAAGTAGTATATGAAGGACTAGCTCAAATATATGTTAACCGACCTCAAATGCCGTTTATTAGAGGCAAA